ATTTAGGCTGCTGAGTGTTTTAAGTTTCATTTCCCAAGGGCAGCTTTAGGCTCATTTAGAACCAGGGTAGGAATGTGGACTAGGGCCAAGGTAATGAGCTACTCCATGGCATTTACCAGAGGCCTATCCTGTCTCCAGCCAAGTCTATGTAAAAGCCAGAGGAGTCTGGTAGGTGGATTCTCTCCATGTCTCAGTTATACTCATATACACTGGGGAAATCAGAATTACAGGTTCACGGACAATATTACAAATGAACAACATAATCACACTGAAGGGAAGGGAGAGGGGAAGGGGAAGAACAGAACCAACCTAAGTAACAATATTCTGGCTGCATAAGATTGAAAATGAAGATAATGTACAAATACTATACTCTGGTTAGTATATTTGTTTACATAGCAGTATGGGTTGGCAATTCTGAAACTACTTCTATAGTATATTAGAATAAGTAAATAGATTTTTGATAATGGGTGTCAGGTTTCTCACTGTCTGAAAAAGGAATTCTAAATCAGCAAGGGGGAGGGGCTATACTGAAACCCGTGGTGCTGGATTAGAGTTGAAGGTATCATTATGAACTTATGATTATTTTAATAAACATACAGACAGTTATAGAAATAACTGATAAATAAGGAAGAGGGAGAATAGCATGATCCCTGTGTAACTGCACTGGAATTAGAGATACCAGTATGAACTCATACTGAACCAGTATGAACCAGTATGATTTTAGTATGTATACAGATAGGCAGACACAGAAATACAAATAATGTGGGTGCATGCGTGGGTTACTACACACACATGTATTTCCCAGCTCTGTCTGCCAAGCAATGACACCCCAGGAGCACGGAGAGCACCTACTATTCAGATCTTGGTTTCTAAATACTATTCTCCAATAAAGAAACCAGAGTTCCGTGTAGAAGTGGTTCATTCCAGGGCTGGAACAGGGAAAATACAAGATGGGCCTGGAATGTCCTATGGTGCCAGAAAGAAAGGAAGTGCCCCCAAAACAATGGAAATATTTTGAAAGAACAAAGAAATCAACCTGAAAGATTTCCCAATGGCCAAAGTTAGAACAATTTGAGTAACAAAGTAAACAACGATAATAATAGATTATAACCCATAGAATAAAATACCTATCTAGGAGCCCATACTGATAAAAGTAGGTAATTGAATAAATAAATAAATTGGGGAGAAAGGACAGGTTTTCTTTCTAGAAGAATTTCAGTTAATAAATGGAAAAGAAATGAGGGAAATACAAAATCATCATTAGACAAATACATTAATGTTGCAGGCAAGATCTATCTACCTATAGATGCCAAAATTAGTAAGTGAAAGTTTAAGAAGAAACAGAATATTTGCATAGTTTTACAATATTTCTTCTAAGACATTCCAAAGGAAAAATAGTAACTTTATAGTATAGAAACCTAGCATATTAACACTTGTACACCCTGATACGATACTGAGAAGGGCACAGCATCACTTCTTTAAGTAATCTCACCAAAAATGTATAATCTCAATCTAAGCAGGAGAAAATATCAGAAAACCTCAACTGAGAGGCATTCTACAAAATACCTGATCAGTACCCTTAAAAAAATGTCAAGGTCATAAAAGAGAAGGAAAGACTGAGGAGCTGTCACAAAGCTGGAAGAGACAAAGAAGATGTGACAACTAAATGAAACAGAATTATGGATTGAGTCCTCGGTATATATACTCCTAGGTATTCCCTAATGTAGAATTATGGACTGAGTCCTGGAATAGAAAAAAGGACATTAGTGAAAAAACTGGTGACATCCTAATAAGGTCTGTGGTTTATTTAATGTATTTAATGGTGTTGTACCAAGGTTAATTTCCTAGTTTTGATATTTATGCTATGCTTACATAAGATGGTAACATTGGGGAAAGCTGGGTGAAGGGTATTCAGGTACTCTGTGTACTGTTTTTGCAACTTTTTCTGTATGTCTACAATTATTTCAAAATAACTTAAAAACAATAAAGTATAGGATCACTAAGCAGAATCTGTGTGAAGTAGAGATCATTTATTCATACTCTCAAATTTTTAAATTATACTGGCTGATCGTTTTTTAATTTTTTAATTTTAAAGACAGAATATGTGTGCATGTGGGGGATGGGTAAAGGGGGAGAGGGAGAGGGAGAGGGAGA